TCTTAGGACTAGAGCTTACGATTGGATACGTGTTTTAAGATTCACGTGTACACGTGATCCGTGTACACGGATTCACGGTACCTTTATTCACGTGTACCTGTGTCCGTGACACGTGTACACGTGTAGTCGTGTATGTGACACGTGTATTCGAATGTCCGTGTATGCGCAACCCGCTATTAAAAAAAGTTTTGACCATAAAAAAAGCATTATTTGCAAATTATCAAAATTTGATGAAAGATCTCTATTTCTGCATATGTTGTTCGACATATGTATACGCATAATTCCAGCATTCCAAGTTTTATCCAGATTTTGTCACATAATTTCATTCACACAACATTCTCTAAATATTTCCCTATTGAAGTATACACGACTACACGTTTACATATGTCACATACACGGATATTCGTGTACACGTGTCACGTTCACAGATATTCGTGTACACGTGTCACGTTCACGGATATCCGTGTACACGGGTTAAAACACGGATAAGTTAAATACACGGATTACACGTGTAGTCTAGTACTCGGGAGCTCTACTTAGGACCCATGTTAATTAAACCTTTTCTTCTTGTTTTGATATATACCTCATGAATACTACCTCTTATCAAAATATGTAACCTTTTTTTCAACACCCTGTATATATAATATATAATAAAATATGTATATATTTACTTATATACATCGCGTCTCTGCATGCACGTACAAAACACATCTACTCGATAATTTACTTTAATAAAACTTCACATCTTGCCAACTGCATTACTAATGTCAATTGCGTCCATTAAGGAACTCTTTGTCCTGTATCTTTCATCAAAATATTCTCTTAAGACTCATGTTTCCTCTTGCTGCGGTCGCAATGAGTTATAAGAAAACAACAATTTATCTTGAATCTAATAATGTAATCATTGCAAGGAAAGAATTCATGTTATTTCTAACTTCTGATGTAGTTCCACACGTGATGAGAAAACAAGAGTTTTAATGTCGTTAAATCGGTTTAGATCTGGCAAGCAATTACAATAGATGTATTCGTTTATACACAATCGACCGGAAGCAGAGTAACTTACTTACTAATATAAAACTTTGTTATTTCTTTGAATATATTGGCTACGTTGACTGAAATAAATCTGTTTCTTAACGAGATATATAAATGCGATATTCTCCGAGGCACGATTGCAATCAAGTTACCGCAAAGATATCGATCTCTTGGACATCGCTTATGTACAATAAAGATACATCCGTGTATAAAATTGATCTGCGGTATGTCCATTTTTATATAAAATCTTACAAAAATGTAAATTGTAATGTAAATATCCTTGCGTGAAAAACAGCATGTAAAACGATGTCGAGATCGTTGTGTACGAGTAACGACCGCGCTGGGAGAAATCGTCATGTCAAAATGTATGAATTACGTCATCAGACATATCAAATGTAGAGGAAAGAGAACTTGGAGATTTGTTTTGAGAAAATACGGTGGAAAATGTAATACTGACGTATCAAAAACGGTAAAGGCCTTCACACATAAAATTCCGTAAGGACGTAAAACGTAAGCATAAGAAAATCGACCAATCACAGTCGAGAACGTAAGGCAATAACGCAAGCAGTAGCAAATCCAATCTGTTGATTTTCTTACGCTTACGTTTTACGTCTTTATGAAGTTTTATGTGTGAAGGCCTTAAGACGTTATAAAAAAAAACTCTAAAAGTTTCACGATTGTAAAGGTATTCTTTTATCTTTTATGTCTTGTGGAAGATGACGTGGAAGACCGAAAAAAAGAAACGAACTTGAAAAACAAAAAATACATCTCAGTAGCCACATTGATCATAGGCGATGTACTTGTAAAAGCATCGGCTTTCTAATTAACGAAATTGTATATCTAATTTAATATATAATTATATCTATAACACGGATGTTCGTCTCGCGGGCAAAGCTGGCCCTCGATTATGCACTGAACTACCCATGTGGTTGACAGTACTGGAATTTGCTCCCGAGCCGCTCTGTCTGTTGCCCACAACGGACATTTCCGATTAGATATGATCACTACATTACTGTACACAAAATCGATCTTCTCCATAGCCCCTAGAAAAAAGGAAACGTAATTTCGTAAACTCTCCTATGAATCGTAACTCATTTGACATAACATACGAGTGTGAAGCAATTTTTTGAAAATTTCTATAAATTTTAATTTCCATAAAATTTAATATGTATTTTTTTAACATAATATTACATATATTAAGTTTGTCAAAATTTGCTTTTACGAAATAAATACCTGAGTCCTCCACAATTACAACTATTGCACCCGCGTTCTCGCAAACTTGTTGCCAGAATATAGCATATTCTCCATCGTATGCCAGACTAGGAATTATAACGACGATTTCTGACAATGGTTTACTTTTACTTGTTTCGTATGCTTCTATGTATATCTTTTTCTTTAAACTCCAACCGTTTGGAAGAGCATATTCCGCCGTACTCACGGCCTTTCCCTAAAAATATACGGTCGAATGTAAAACATTACGAATACCACAAATTGTAAATGATGCTATGATAAATAATATAGCGAGACAAATTTTAAAAGAAAAAATAAGAATTTCTGAAAAGATGTATATATAATAAAGATATAAAGATATACAATAAATTTGAAGTAAACTGTATTTTAACACTATACTAAAACATGTTGAAGCATGTATTAGGATGACGCATGGCTGTGTGAAAACGATTGTTTCTTAGTCGACGAGTTTCAGATTTAATTCTGACCGTCATCCCATGTATATATACTTTGATTTCTTCATAAGAAGCTGGAGAGTTGAATTTCATTTCATCATAGATATTTAAAACATTAGACCTGGGATTAAAAAATTAATGTACAAGAAAGAATATCTCACTACCTCATTGCAGGATCTGCTGACCCATTTGTGATTGCACACGCGGATGCCGACCGAGAGACACAATATGGTCTTCGCCGTAGTATTTGGCACGTTTGAGATGAGTATTGTGTTCTTATACTCATCCTTCGGTATCTCTCCGAAGTCTTCGTAGAGTTTCCCACCACCCGCTAAGATCTGAGCGTGCAGCCTTTCGCGCACGAAAGCTTGGTCCACCCATCCGTCTTCGTTCTCAGTCTCGAAATCTGTTTCAGAGGCATCCGTTTCCGTCTCCGACGCAGTGGACACCTTTGTGTCCTTCGGATACCTGAAATGACATACAGTGAATTAGCGGATATCGAATAAGATCCTTAACAAAAAAATATGAAAAGACGAGAAACTTTGTACCTTGGCACAATTTCTAAATCTTTTTATGTTATATTATAGTTCAATATTTCTGAATAGAAAGAAAATGAAAAGCAGTAAGAGCCGACGCAGGATGTTGGATGCGGAATACAAAAGTTTAATGTATAAAAACATTCGTTATGGTCAAACGTTTCGATCAACTTAGTCGATTAGTCGACATTTTGAAAATGAAATTAACTGGATAACAATTCTTTCGAAGTAGTAGGATAACTAAAATCAAATTTTTATGGTGGAATCTCGGGTGGAATAATAGAAACGAGTAAGATCGTAACTGCTCTCTTTTGGAACAACGGATGATTAGAGAAATAATTAAGGTATCGCCCCGAAAAAGTATTTTTTAATTAATATCCTCATTTATTGTATTGTATTAATTTGATATTTAACGTAAATTGCACATTAATGCTTGAAATTAATGTTTTCTGATGTTGGAGTACTTTTACTAGAATTAAGATCCCTGTTCAGTTGAAATAAGTATTAAATGAGAGAAGACAATACCTGTCCAGTTTCTTTAAAACTGCACAAGTAAGGATGAATGACATGCCCTTGAAGATGGAGTTAGATGGGATTGGACCAAGGTCCTGAATCATCTGAAGATCATCCTCCGCCTTCTTTTTGCTACGCGATTTGCCCTTGATCCTACTCTGTGGTCCTTTCACGATCTGTTCGTACGGCGTGCCGTTTATCTCCTTCTGCACGCCCCTCAGAACGTACCACTCGTCCCCTGTCTGAACCAATTCAACGTTCGAGTCGCTCGAGACACCCTCGTTCTCCGACAACACGCCCTTCTCCCTCTTGAGTTTGGCGGACATGCCGGACACCGAGGGTTCCGCTTTGGTTTTACTGGCCGGGGTGCTCGTTCCGGCGGCATTGCTCCTGGACTTAGGAGTCGAGAAGAGCGGCGTACCGATCCTCTTGGACCGTCGCTTGCCGTCAACCATGTTGTCCAAGGTCACTTGGCCGAGTGTCTTCGGCGTGCTCAACAGAGCGATCTTACTCGCGGAATCCATCTCCTCCTTGAGCACCTTCGCCTGATCGACAGTCAAGGAAATGTTCTGTAGCTGCACGCGCAATCGCTTGTGCTCGTCAGTCTCCACCGTGTAGTACGTGTTGTCGGTGCTCGACGTGTCAAAGTCGATGATAACGCCGTAGAAACCGTAATCGTTGATATTCGTCGTCACGTAAACGGACAGGCCTTTCCTGAGAATCTTTGTGGGAATCACAAATTCGGGTATGAGCGTCTTGCTCTGGCCATCGTAAAACTTGACTTTGTACTTAGTTTTCAGCCGATCGATTACCGTGCCGGGATAGTAATTGTTGTCTGACCATTTGGCGAACACGTTTTTACCGATCAGCTCGTCGTCGAGATCGTTTCGCGGCGACGAGTTTGCCAAAACGTCCATGTCGCTCATCCGTAGCTTGTCCTCCGTGTCCTCTGTCTTGATCTTCTTCCTGCTCGACGGTGTATCCGTCTCCGAGGCGGCCGTGCGCCGAGTCGGCTCGTTCTCGCCGTTGATCTGCGCGGCATCCGACTTGGTCATTTTGCTCCTCGGTCTTTTTACCGCTTTGTTCTTCTTCGTGTTCTTTGGCGTGACGGCCAGTTCTATCTTCATACTCGTCATGGGCTGGTCTGACGGCGTTGACGAACGCATATTGTTTTCCTCCAGGTGATGATGATCGTCCAGCGGCTCGTTGCTAACGTTCGCGAAAGTATCAACTATCGTGGTGGCTGCGGCCGCGGTGGCGGTCGTGCCCAGTTCTGCGTTGGCGTGATTCAAGATGGTCGTCGTGAGCAAGCGATGATTCTTCCACTCGTGCGTCAGACGATGGTAGGTATCGTCCAACGTTTGCTTGTCCGGCGCCGTCGACAGGGCTTCTTGGGAGGACTTCTTGGCGTGCTTGGCTGGGCCCATCGGCATCGAGAACAAGTGCTTCTGGGTGCGCTTGAACGCCAACGAAGCAGCGCTGGACCCCGAGCTGGACGACGACAAGATGGACAATCGAGGATTCAGCTGGTACAGCTGAGCATTGCTGTTGATAGAAGCAGGTGACGAATCCTTGTTGTCGGAGATGTCCGCCAACGAGGATTGGCTATCGTCATTCTTCTGTCGACTAACAGAATCGATTACCATAGGCTCGCATTGCACCGCAGTCAGTTCCTTGCTCACGGGCTCCTTCGTGTTCTCGTCCACATGCATCAGACACTTCAATTTCAGCCACACGTGGATCTCCCGCTCTACCTGTAATGGTATTACTCTCATGAATTTGTGTTCGCACAGAAATTTTACAATAACGACAACAAATATCTATTTATTGTTCACCTGCATGGTCTTAGTGTTGTTATACATTAGACTGGACTTGCTCTTCTCCTCCACATTAGACGTTTCGTGGTCGCTTATGCTAATGAGCTCGACGTTGTCATCTTTAGGCATGGATAAATCCCTGTTGGGGGGCAGCTTCAGAATCTCGCGCGTGGTCAGCACCGCAGGAGGTATCAGGTCGTCACATCCGATGAATGTATCGGAGTCTAAGCTCATCGTAGTTTCAGTGTCGCTCTTCTTGGACTCGGCACTGCCGTTGACCAGCTTCGTCTCCGGCGTCAACTTAGAGTCCAGGGACGTCTCCTTCATGCTCTCCAGGGACATGTGACTGCTCTTGCTTTCGTAGCTGCTGCTCTTGTCTACAGTGTGGATCTCAGCATCCTTCCCCAAAGAGTCCAGTACGATCCTCTCGACGTATTCGTGCGAGTCGTCGATCTGAACGACCTCCGGTCTCGTGCCCTGGCTATCGTACGTCACTTCGGCCGACGAGTCCAATATACTCTTCTCGCCGTCGTCGTCAATCTGCACCACGTGGGGCTTCGGTCTACTCTCGTTGTCAACTGCGCGATTCGCGCCCTCATATATCAATTCTACGCTGAATCGCGACTTGGTCTGCGAGGACGAGATCGTTCCGTCGTTGTCGTCAGCTTTTTTCTTGGTGCAGTTCGATTGCTCCACTCGATTATTTTCATCCGCCACCGTCTCTGTATCCCTTGCAGACTCTGTTTCGCTCAACGTTCCAATTCCAGACGTTTTTTCGTCAGCTATCACAACGCTCGTGGAGGAGACGTCTCCTTTCGTTTCAACCGACGGACTGTTGTCCTCCAGCTGAGAATCGCTCTCGTTTGTGGAATCATTCATAACGAACATGCTGTCATTGGCGCTGGAGTCGGCCAATTTCGCGGAAACGTTCAGATTCTCATCCTTCTCCTCGCTCTGACTGTATTTCTCGGGGAACTCCTCACCTTGTTGATCCGTGTGACGCTTCTGAGCCTTGTCGTCTGCCGATTTCGCCACCTGCTCAGTAGGAATCTGCAGAGAGTTCTGCGTGAACTCCACGTTGGTTGGATCCTGGGTTTCCTCTATTATAACATTCTTGTCAATGTTTTTAAACAAGTCCTGATACGAGTCGTCAGATTCGCAGGACTGACGACTCTCCTCCTCCTCGAGTTGCCCCTCAACTTTCGTCGCATCATCCGTGGACGTTGTTCGAGCGACCTTAGCAGCAATTTGGTCCTCGTCGACAGTCCTAGCCTTACGCTTCAAACTCGCAACGTCGACGCTACGCATCTTTCTGGACGGCGAGTAACTCTGAGGAGGTGTACCTTGAATGACCTCGTCTTCGTCGAAAGGCTCGTCTTTCTTCTGCGACTCGCCAGATACGTTCCCTTCGGTCTTCTCAGCAGCCTGGTCTTCCATCGCCTTCTCATTTGTGACGGTTTCGTCCTCTCTGTCGTTTCTAGTTGTCGCGTTATCATCTTCTGACTGCAGAGCTTCCAGGGTCTTGAGCTGCTGGGCCTCTCCATCCTGCGTCTCCTTTACCATGCTCTCGTCATCGGATTCCACGAGAAGATGAAAATCTTGACTCTCGTTCAAGCTCGCCCTCTGCGTCTCGTTATTAACTTTGAGGCTTCCATCTTCGTAACACGTCTCCTGCGTGTCGCATGGCGAACCGATAACTTCTTTAGGACTGGACATCGTCGACGAATCGTGGCAAGCGTTCTGAAAATAAAACTAATGTAACTAACGTAACTGCGATCATCCACGATACACAAGGTGAGTTAAAAGAGTAAGCATGTGAATTTACTTCTTATTCCTGCTCCAGCTCCGACGCTCTCGGTGAATCCAACCAGAGCTACAAATATTTGAAAAAGTTATGCCTGCATTTTTAGCTTCCTTACACCAAAAGATAATGACTGTGGTTTCCTTACTTCCAACGTAGATGCTCCCCTAAAGATACTTGTTAAGCCGACGGACATGAAACGTGAAAAAGTGGCCGTTTGAGGAGCCGGAACGACGCGCCGAATAATCTCGAGACGCGGGATTCGGCGATTGTGGGTCCTCACGACGGAGGATAACGCGAGGTAACGTTACTCGCGCACCGCCGGCGGTCAGTCACGTAGTGCGCGCTCCGCGCGCGTGCGGCGATGTTTACAATGGCGACGAAAGGTTACGGCGGGAACGTCCGCCGAGGCGGGGCGGAGCGGAGCCACGCAGTACGCGGAGCAGCGAGCCGCGCGAGACCCAACGCAGAGTCGACGTGCGCGGCGCGGCGCGGCTGCCGGCCGGGAGTATCGCCGCCGCGGAGGCGAGCTATCACATTTGCCCGCGTGTACGGCGCGGGCGAACGTTTCCGCCGGTCGGCGATCCCGGCTAGGCCTTCGGCGGCACGCGGTGAAAAAGCGCGAAACGGAGCACTGCCGCGCGCGGCAACGCGAGGCGCATACGGGAACGCCGTGGAACGGCGCACGGCGGGCTATTCCTCTCCACTCTTCTCTCGCTCCTCGTTTCCTCTATCGTCGTTGGTTCGCAGGGCGGCACGAGAGCGAGGTAATGCCCGCCATATTTCCATTGCACATTGCGTGGCGCGCGCGCGGAATCGGCAGACACGACAGAAACGGGAACGCGGGAACGGAACGGAACGGCGGAACTTGGAGCCTGTGGGTCTGTTCTTTATAGCTGAACCTTGCCGCACCAGATCAGGGGCTCGATTCTTGAATCTGTTCGAAGGAGAAACGTATGCGAAGATTCTGCTCCTACAGAAAAGTTGCAAGTTGATTGGTTATTCGCATGGCTTTTAACCAATCGACTTTCAACTTTTCTGTCGGAGCAGAATTTTCGTATACGTTTTCTTCTTCGAATGAATTGAAGAATCGGGCCCCTGAGTTGTATCTTTCTCTTCCCGATGCAGACGGGAGGAGACCAACTCTGAACCGGCTGCTCCAGTTTTCAGCTGAAAAAGAATACGCGCGTTTATCCGGGGATTAGAGTTCCACCAATCGGATAAGTTCAATTTTTTAGTCTGCCGCGTTCCGATTGGTTCATCTCAGTGGCGGCAAATTCATTTCCCACCTCCGCCCAAGATTTCACTCGCAACGTCGTCAACAAACAAGTCGATTTTCACTCTTACAAAAGAGATGTATGTAAACCGATTGGCCGCGACGTCGCTTAAGGCTGAAATCACATGGTGCAGAATAGAGCTGCGGAATAGAACGTGCGTCATAGAAGCAACCAATCAGAGCCAGACATTTCCGTCACTCGTTGATACGGCAAAGCTCTGATTGGTTGCTTCTATAACGCACTCTCTATTCCGTACTCCTATTCTGCACCATGTGATTTCAGCCTAACGCACTCTCTATTCCGTACTCCTATTCCGCATCATGTGATTTCGGCCTTAGGGCTTAAATCATCTATTGTAGACTGGGGCTAATCCCAATTCTGGGGAGCGATCACGTGCACCGATCGAATTCGAATTCGAGAAGAAATATGCCATCCGATACCACTCTTCGTACATGATCAATCTATGGTCTGGGAGAAACTATCCTATAATAAATAAGCATGAACCATGAAACCTGTAGAGTAGAAACGTATGAGAAGTCGACCGATCGAATTCGATCGTGCACGTGATCGCTCCCCGATCCGACTCTAGCCCAACTCGGTGGAAACGTAGTCTATGACGGATCGAACCGCCGGAACCGCCAATCAAATTATCTGAACATCCATCCGACTCTCACCCGAGGCACTCTACACTTTCCTTACTTCATGGCGTGCCTCTTGCTCCATCTCTCTCTTTCTTTCCCCGTCTCTCTTCCTCTCTCTCCATCGCTCGTCCTCCGGTCCTCCCTGGATTTCGTCGCCGGTCTACTGCGTGTCAATTGATTTTGCAGCGTGATTTCTCGAAATGGCGCAAAATAAATTCACTGAGATGGCTTCGCAATTCGGCAAGGGCGCGAATGGAGTGCCGATGGGTGTCAAGTTTCTCGCCGCTGCGGGCGTTGCGGCCTACGGCGTTTCTAAAGCCATGTACACAGGTTAACCTCAATTTCACTTTCCTTTTTTTTAAATAATAATTGCGATACTTATTGCTAAATCCTATTGTCTCTCTTGAATAAACGATGACTTATGATGACTAGTTTAATCAACGTTTAATATTACTTTACCCAGCTTACATTTTTCTTGTCCAGCGAATATCCCCTCTATCGTCATTACAAGCGGCTCCGATTATATAATTTGCGATGTAACTGATGCAACTTAATACAGTTGTGAAGTACTTATCCAAGGAAAATGAAAAGTCAACATGATGCCAATTTCATGTCATATTGACCAAATTTCTGTCATATTTTGACGTCACCTCGACTTTTCGTTTTTCCTTGGGTACTTGTGTAGTCTGTTTTTTTATACAATAGAGGTTTTAATTTATATTTTTATTAATACACTTGAAAAGCTGCCTTTGCGTCACAGCGAAGTTGCTACCTTTGAATTTGTCTCTGGTATAAAAGTCCTAAAAAGAGTCTCATCTTCCACAAGTCAAGGGTATTAAAACGATGAAGAATAATCCGGCTTTTACGACGGACGGATTACAAAGAGAAATCAAATTTATGGATTTCAGTGGATGCCGGCCACAGAGCGATCATATTCTCTCGTCTAGGAGGTATCCAGAAGGATATCATGACCGAGGGTTTGCACTTTCGCGTTCCGTGGTTTCAATACCCGATAATTTACGACATTAGGAGCAGACCCAGGAAGCTGTCCTCGCCCACGGGATCCAAGGACTTGCAAATGGTCAATATCTCGATACGTGTTCTCTCGCGCCCCGAAGCCAGCATGCTGCCTTCCATGTATCGGCAACTGGGCCTCGATTATGACGAGAAGGTTCGTAAAACGACTATAAGAATGTTGATCTCTTTAATACAAAACGAAATCTCTAAAGTTGCGATGCCCAGGTATTTTAAGTAATTAAATAATTCAGACATTAGCTTTCATGCGGTATAATTTCGCACTACAGACACATAGTTTTAATCAAAAATTTTCAAGAGTATTATAATAAAAAGCTATATATTGAACTTTCTATTTAATGGAACGATATACCACAGTTCGGAGCACTAATCTTAACGATCGGTTTCAGTTTGTGATGATGTAAACATCGTAGGTGTAAAACTAAATCAAAATTAATAAATTAGGTGCTGCCAAGCATTTGCAATGAAGTGCTGAAGTCCGTTGTCGCTAAATTCAACGCCTCGCAATTGATTACTCAAAGACAACAGGTGTCTAACATGGTGCGTAAGGAATTGACCGAACGTGCTCGGGACTTCAACATTATTCTGGATGACGTCTCGATAACGGAGCTTAGCTTCGGCAAGGAATACACCGCCGCGGTCGAGGCAAAACAAGTGGCGCAGCAGGAGGCTCAACGTGCCGCATTTGTTGTGGAAAGGGCCAAGCAGGAGCGACAACAGAAGATCGTGCAAGCCGAAGGAGAGGCGGAGGCAGCCAAAATGATATCCTTTAAAGAAACAATTTTTTTACTTATTTATAATACAATTGTGTCCTATTAATCGAGACAAATCGACAAATGGAGTTAAAACTGCAAATCTTCCTTGTCTTTAGAATTTGTAAGATTTATTATCAAGCGGTTAAAGCTTGCGGTTAAACTACTGATTTGAGTATATAATTGAATTATATACTCAATTGCCTTTGAACTATAAATACCTTGACTACAGTGTACCTTGGCATGGCTGTCGGCCAGAATCCTGGATATCTGAAGCTGCGTAAAATACGAGCCGCACAGAATATCTCGCGTACGGTGAGCATCTATTGTAAACGTTTGTCGAGGTTTTAAGAGACGTAACGAGGCGTTCTTGTGATGTCAAAATTAATATTTCATATACTTGAAAAATATTTTAAGCAGTACTACATTCGTATCAATACTTAACTGTTGCTGCTTTATTCCAGATCGCTACTTCCCAGAACAGAGTATTCCTCAGTGGCAATAGTCTGATGCTAAATATTCAAGATCCTTTGTTTGACGAGGGTTCGGATAAGCTGAAAAGTAAGAAGTAAAAATCGTCAAAATGCGCGTCACGGTTTTTTTTTATCTGTTCTATCAATCTAAGTTTTTATTGAGCCTGAAAAACGACCGGCTTATGTATAATTATGTTGAAATACTGTGAATAAGATATGTAATTTCGAACGTACGGATTATATATATTTTCCCATCACACTGCGCTCTCCTCGTCGTCGTCCTCGTGGTAGTACTCGCGGATACCCGCTCGTTTCATCATTGTATGTTCCAAATTAATTGAATGAGAGTTGACATTTCGTAGAAAATTGTACACAATAAATTATTTCTTAGTCAAAAAGAGATGGTTAGTAATTATATGAGACATTGTGTAGTTAAAAACCTTACAATAGAAAGTAGGAGTTGACGGACTGTCAGTATCGGTATTTTTAAGAACAAAACTTTCCGCGAGAAACCTCCCCTTTGACCATTTTCAAAGCCTTCCCGTGAAGGAAAAAAAAATTTTAATGCGCGGAGACAAATGTGGGCGCATAAAAAGGAATGAACTTGAGATACAAAGAATAAATTAGGAATATAACCCGACCATATGTGGCAAACTAATAAAATTCGTAGAGAATTAGCTAATAATTTGTGATGGGTACTCCGAGCTAGTCGAGCGTAAGCTACAACATAGACGCCCAATACTGGCTTTTTCAGATCACTTGGGAGTGAGCTGGAAGAGCTGGGATGAGGCGGCCGACCGCGCCGTCCGGAACTGGGGTGCCAGTTCCCATCAGGCACTGCCGTATGCCGAAAGGTCCGGCATCAAGACACCAGAACCCTCCGTCGTCCCTTCCCTCCTGGAATCGGCTGACGATAGCGCTAAACTGATAGTACCGTTACGATAAAGAGAGATTTTGCGACGCAACTTTGTCCCCCACCAAACGCGAATCCCCTTTATCCGTTGGTCTGTCAAAGGACAATTGCGATATCTTGTTAGAGTTGTTTGTCCCGATTATATTTTTCTGCATTTTTCTACGTTGAAAATAAAATGTACAAAGGAGAGGATAGACAAAACGCATATAAATAGATACACTAAGATAAATATGTATAAAAAAAACAATTTTAATTGTGAAGTGCGATCTTTGTGACGCTCTTTTTATTCTTTTTCTGCTTTATCCTATAATTTTTTTTTATAAATTTATATATTGTATATAGCTATCACTATAATTGCACTAAATTCAGATATCATGACTTGCTTTAGGCGTTTAGTTTTTTTTCTTAGTTTCGTGATGCAATTACAATTTTATCATTTATATTCTCATCGTGAGAGAACAACAATAAAAATATAAAAAGCTTAAAGACTATAAAAGAAATGAATTATAAAATATTAACACACACGTACAGTGTTAGTGAATTATTGAAACTACTGTAGTCCGCGCCATAGAAGCTGTTTATAAAAAGTGCTTTATTAAATTTTAACGATATTATTTTAGGACTTGACAAATGGAAATCTTAAGTAATATTTGATTACCTTCTTTGACAATCATCGGCGAGCTGGTTCTCATCGCTGAACATCCAGTTTTTGTTTTGTTCTGTCACGTTCAAGTTGACGAGCTGTTCGATCATCTGCCTGAGATATTTTTGTTCGTATCTTTTACATATTGCATTCGTGTTTTACGTGAAAGAAAAGGCGATTATCCAATTGTGAGAGGAAGAGATTGAGGTCCCTATGCTCGCGGGAGCACAGGAATGAGATATGCAAGCGCATCTTACTATTGCATTTATTTATTTTCTTATGTTCTACTGTAATACTGTAATAACATACAAGAAATGCACTTTAATGAAACCTACAGAAGAGAATCTGAATATAAAGTCAGATACTTAATATCGCCTCGCGGCATTGCGCTCTCGTGTTCGTAATATACATATGTCCGTAATATATTTTTTACTTTCTCAACAAACGCAAACGTAGTTTCCGTTATTTTATTTCGATCGATATAAGCGATTCGTACGAATACCGATTCATCCTCCCTCGCTTCCTCACTCACTCACGCATTTAAACGCACACAGTCACGCATGCTACCACTATTCACTTGCCGTTCTGAAATATGTCATGGTGGAAGGATTAAAAAAAAGCCACTTTTCTCGAGTTTACCTCTCTTTGGTCGTGAAAAACTAATCAAACGGTACTGCGGTTGAAAAAACGGCCGGCCGTCAAGAAATTTCGTCACCCGCTTACACGTTTTTATTTACCCTTACGCTTTTTATACATCGCAAAGTGTTATCAAAACACATAAAAATTTATGTATGTCCAGTTACGGTGTCATTGTGATAACTTCTTCTTTCTCTTCTACGTTTACATATTACTGATATCACCTCGTAGTAAATTTGATTATCAGGCCAGGTAATAAGATTGCACCGAAATGGGGAGAATTTATGACTGGCAAATCTTGCTAAAATGGTTCATAATGTAATGAATTACATTACAAACTCCATTTGGTTTTCTAATCTCTCTCTAAAAGCAGTTTCAGGCCTTGACGATTAGAAGCTCGATTTGCATAAATTTCTTTATTAGTAAAATTCCCTCTGAAAGCTACTTCTCTCAAAAAGGATTCTAATAGTTTTCTCTGGAATTGCTTATTTTTGCAATGGCATTTTCGTGATTGTCCCTTCACGAGAACATCATAAATTATTTCGTTAACTTTGTACTAATTTCGCTGCCATAAAAAAAACCGGCAGATTTTATTAACGCGTTTAAAGCCTCCATTAATGCTTTTTTTTTTCAATACAAACTGACTAGACATTACTATACGCATTTTATGTTACGGACTACAAACAGGCCGCCCCTGTTGTGTAAACATAGACAGCCTTTTCTTCGAGAGCGAGTGAATCAAAACTCCAGGAATTGGACGAGAATGCAAGAACTCGTTTACGCATTTACACACAAAATTAGGAAAAGAATGGGCGAAGTTATGCCGCTATCTTGTACGCACAAAAATAAAAAGAAATATATATATGTGAAACAAAAACAAAATATGCAAAAAATTATAAGACAATTAAAATCGCAATATTAGAGATGCTATGAGCAAGAATAGTCTTGAAGACTATAATTTTTGGAAATACCTACACGTACCTGATTAGTGTTCAGTTTTTTAAAATAGGAGATTCTATTTTAGTTCTTTTTAAATATATCGCAATTTAAGTATTAGAAATGCTATAGAGAACGAAATGGTAATGAACTTAAGAACTTTTCTATTCATTAGCCTTATAAGGTTTGTAATGGGTCTTGACTACCGCGGGCACGTCCTTCCTATAATCCACCGTCCCCAAGGAGGTGTAGCGCGACGGCGAATGGAAATTCCACGCCTCCGGAAACAGCATGTTTCCTCTATCTGCTGTGAAGTAAACGCGTTGCGGTTAGATTCGAGTGAAATTCGAACTTGCCGTCACTGTTTGCACTTTACTATCACTTCCGTTTACGGAGGAACGCGTTCGTGTATTATCTTGGATTGGACATTCCAAGTACTTGAACCGGTAATTTATATGCATAAAAGGGGCTGAAATTCTTTGATATCGACAATTTCGTGATCGTCTTTTATGCTGTTAATGAGATTGATCATCGACAATTGCGTTTAGCCAGAAACGACCAAGGAGTGGCTTTTGAAAATTATATTAATATAATATTTGTACATAAGAAATATGTATATAGTGTGCAATATTTAAGGTTTTCCATTCGAATTGTTCTATATACAGTGCGAAAGAAAAAAAGATTCGCGTAAGTCAATTACTGTTCATCGCGCAATATTGCAATAAAATTGTACAACATTCTTCAATTCGCAATAGTCACAAACTGACACTTTTTGCAACATTGTTTTTTTTTTGTACAACGTTCTTCGCATTTCATGAATAAATCAGAGATGGAAAGTTTAGCGACATTGTGCTGTTGCCTTAGCTCCATCTTGAAGGGTGTGATTTGAAGACACCTCTAAGGCCATTGGCTACGCTCAGCAGGAAAGAGCAGCTTAGAAAACGCTTAGTGGCTCTAACATTGGTTCCTATCTTTAGTTTCTCGTTAGATCTAATTGTAAGTGTAGAAACCAACCGCGATAAAGAATCATCAAACTGCTTTTTTCTGCCATTGGCATATAGAGAAACGTAGTAGGATTCAAGCAAACCGACCAATCGCAGTCGAGAATTTAAAAATGATGCCTCGACTATGATTCGTTTTTTCTTCTATATGCCATTAGCTTAAGTGTCCATCTACAATAGAGATTTAAACCCTAAGCCTTAAGAAATTGACTAATCACAGTCGCGTTTTCTACTCAGACTTGACCGCGATTGGTCATTTCCTTAAGGCTTGGGGCTTGAATTATCTATTGTAGACTGGGACTAAAGCAGAGCTGTTCACGATTTGCGCGAGTCACCGCCTATTACCCCCTACCCGCGTCATCTGACGACGGTAACCAAGCGCGTGGCGCTCAGCTTCAGACGTATCTGTAATCCGATGGCGTTGCGTGCCCCTTGACCGTCAAATGTCAGTTTCCGAAACGTGATTTGTTTAAAATCTTTTTACATAATTAATTCAACAAGAAATTTTTAATTCCTGATTATTAATTACATTCACTAGAGTATTTTTTGTAATAGATTTTCACGTCACCTAAAGGACCGTCTACATTGTAAGTAAGCAGTAAGAAGTAAGAAAACCATAGCCTTTACTTATCAGTGTAAAAGCTAAGGTACAGGCATAATTAAAAAAAAAAAAAAACATAGCACTGGTCGAACTGCGCTCTAATTCGCCGTAAGAGTATGCGTTAGAGCTGAAGTAGGTGCAAGAAATGGGAAATGATTCGTTTCTTTACTCCCACTCTTACTTCTCTTACGCCAGGCTTACTTTCTATTCTGTTGCAGACGATCCTCAAGACGTACTAGTTGGGGGGTAATAGGCGGTGACTCGACTCGAAAATCGGCCGAAATGTGCAAATCGTGGACAGCTCCGGCTCGAAGGATCCTGCTTGGCTCTGCGCGGCTCGCTACCGTGCCATAAAACGCAACGCCGTGATAACGTCGGTTACATTATGGGAGCTTAAGAACATTACATATTTCAACGTCTGCGCATTATCATCACGCTTCGCGAAGCGAGCTTTCAGTATTTCGCAACGTGTCCCAGGACACTCGTCTGAATGGCACATGCCATCGGTACGACGATGCCGCGTTAGGTTTACATCGAATCGCGCTAACAAAAACGAAAAGTCGGAACGCGCATAGATCTCGTCAATTGTTATCTCGTTGGCTGTAGACTGGCGTCGGAGTCCGGCAAAATTCTGCGAGAGAGGAGGACGCATTCGCTACTTCTGTACTTCTCTTTCTTTCGGGAGTCGCCAGAAACAGGATCAATGAAAAGTTGCCGGGTTTAGAGGGAAGGACTTTTTGGACTGGCGTAGACGAGTGGCCCGTTCATTGGTCGTGGCGGTGAACCGCGTCAAACGCAGCCAATCAACGCGCGCTCATCTGCGCCGGCACCCGCCGAGAAAGGTAACAATTAACGAGATACGTCGGTTTACGAAATTCCTTCTCTCCCGCATTCCCGCGCGTGTGGGGCTTCTCTTTTCTTCCTCGCCCCCACGCGGTAGATTCGACTGCATCGAATTCGCGACTCGTGGCGAGCAGACTTCGATCCGGCAGTCGGAATAACGCAATCGCATACGCGAGCGCACACGCAAGACACACAACGCACGTACGCACACACACGCACATACACGCGTACGAGTCAACGGATTCGGAAATGATATAACGAAAGGAAAAACGACAAAAAAGAAAAAGAAAAAAACGAAACAGAAATCAATCGCTACAGATCACACCTTTTTTTTTGCAATAAATTCATCGTTCATCAAACATTCGAATTAGAACGAACACCGCATTCCCGGCGCGCGCTTAGCGCCCAAAATTTCGGAGCGACTCCCTCCGCGAACGATCAACCAAGGTGCGCCAGAAATGCGGGCTGATTGACGCGCTATACCATACTGTTGTTGAAGGATTCACCCGTCGAAGGACCACAAGAGAAAAAAAAAAGAAAAGAAAATGAAGCAGTTCAGGTTTCTCGACATGGCACACCTGTTTCGACGGTGCGCCAGTAAAGAGGATTAATAATCGCGATACGTTTTGAGAGCAACAGGTTACATCTTCGGCACATACTTTTTTTTCCTCCACCTCGCTTATCTCGCGGCGATTCGATTCGATTATCTTAGTGGCTCGTTTTCCTTAGTTCGGCGGCCTTTACGTTTTTAATCGCGCGCTAATTACTAGAATAAATATTGCGAGTTCAGACGGGACGCGGGGGGGTAAAACGAACGCAAAATCGAAACGCTGAAAGTGGGCTGAACAATTTGATCGTTCGTCCATTACCGTAGGTTTCGTACAACGACAGGGATTGTTCGATCGAAACGGCCGAGACTTGCCGCTACAAACTACAAATGCCCTACAACTTAATCGGCTTTATGTATACAGTTAAAAAGTATTACATTTGTTGGATTATAAAAGTACATTTAAATTAAAAGTGTTATATTGCAGTCTCATTCCAGGGCTTGGAGACTGTTTTCAAGCGGACACCATCTACGCCCGTGCGTGAAGAAATTCGTACGAATTCTTTCTCCCACCTTGAACGAGAGCTCCTTTCGTTTGTGAATTTCATTTACTTTCTACAAGTTTTGTTATCGATCTATTTAATATAACGAATTTAATTTAACAAGTTTTAACTCATAGTATACATATATGTATATACGCGGCGAGTTGAACACCTTGGACTTAAATACTGTTTCGCTAACGAATATTAACGCAATTGAAGGAGAAGATAGGAGACATTTTTATTTTTAAATAAAATTTAAGATGAATCATATGTAATGCATTCTTATCTCGTAATGCTTTCTTTCAGGACACTATGTGCAAATGAAGATCCCATAACAGGCATAATACGAAGGACATTCCTACAAAGAGTAAGTTAGTTTTGGAGGAAGAAAGGAAGAACCCGAAACTTTATAGTCTCTGTACGACCGTAAAGTATTTGAAGATCGCGAAAGTCGCTTTAACGAAGTGAATAATACGAACAATCGGAACTAATAATAATAACAAAACGACCATGGTCGTCCAGGACGGACGGTGTAAAATCACACGAGACGATTAAACAAACTATTAACAGATTTTGTCGTTATACAACACAGCGCACGTGTGCGGTCGGTGATAAAAAGATTGTAACATTTTTCTCCCTTCGATAAGCGAGGACGACTTGACGAGAGAGAAAGAGATTCTTCTTTACGTTTATCCTGGTGGCTAAATCGCAACTCCATACAGACTGACTATATAGACTGTTGTGTACGCTGAGGCTCATCGAAAGAAAAGATATCGCAACCCTTTCGCCATCGATCGACACGTATCCAGGGTGAGATGTGAAAGGGGTGAGGCTTTATTAAATTCATATACAAGCTGGCGAGATTCAGTCTTTGTGTGTAAAAAAGAATAGTTTCTACAATATTACGATATTTATGATATTCATGCTTGCGATTAATTAAAATGTTTATTTACGTGATATCACAGTGTTCATCACGAACAAGAAGAAAAAGATAGAAGAGGGTATTCCCCTGAACGGCCATTATCGATTCCGCTTCATCGCGGGACAATCGATCGATTCTCGGCTTTATCGTAGGGGGTCGATCGTTGATGTCACACCGATTCATCGAGTAGGGTTTGATACGAGTAATGATGAGAAATTTCAAGTAAAACGGCCAACCAAATTTCTAGTAAATCTATCCCACAACGCCCTTCCAATTCATAACTCGAAAGAACCAGTTTTGCATTAAACGGAAATGCGACTGAGAAGTCCAACGAGTAGAAAGAACAAGCTGCGTACCGTATCAGCACAATACACGAGATTATATGCCATTTCTTTTTATTATCGGATGATGATTGCAGAAATGATAATTTCAATCTCAAAACACATAGACTCGCACATTTCGTTAATACGGGCAAGACTAATTGTTAAAATTCCATCTATAACTTAACCACTTGAATACAACTTACACTTAAACCATAGTGTGAATGCTAAAATACTAAATATTAAATATCAAAAGTAATAGTCGCTATGATAATGTAGGATAAACATTATAGTCGCAAGCATCAAACGTTCACAGAATTGACCACGCGAAGATATGACGAAGAAACTGTTCTGAAGAACGTTTTGGCCCCTTCCTTTTAATAAAAGCCTCTTTTTATTTGATATTTCACTATTATATCTCAGAAAGTACACATATTAACTTTTACAACTCGAATAAATTAAAATTTTTTATTGTGGAATTTAATGAAAACGTTACTTCGAGATTTTTCTGTCGGAAATATAATTGCGATTAATAAAAGTATATGACAACACGCTCTATAACCCAGTAATAGTGAATTGGTAATTAATCGCTAGATTGTACAAAAAGTATTTTGCATTTTGAAAATTCGGGAAAAACCGACTCGACCATTTCTTCGATCAGAAAAGATTTTGGAACAGTGGTGTACTTATTTGCTAGATGCCGATTTGTATTTATATTGTGAACAAAACGATGCGTATATTATAAAAGAAAAGCGACAGTATTATTAATATTATGACAACGTTATCGTCGTGTTGCCTTTTGATCGGAAAAAACTTTTTACACAGTCTAATCGGATATATCAACTATAGCCCAACGTTACATTGTTTATTCTAGGAAAGTGAGAGAAAAGTGGCGTTCGGTGTCATTTCCCTTTCCTTTCCCATTAGCTAAATAGATATCGACGACCCTGCATTAAGCATCATTAAGATCTGATGACTGATTCCGCATATAAAACTGATGAGTTACATCCCTTACTTTAATCATGACGCGCGATAGGTAGAGCTAGAAATATGCTATGTCTTACATATCACAGAGCTACGCGTACACCCGCTATCTACATTATTTCGTTGAAATTTTCATTTAAAGGGAAACGGGGGGGAAAAAAGCAAAGAAAAAATGAAGAAGACCTTTTTCGTATATAATACTTAAAGTATAATTATTAAATAACATATATGTATATATCAATATTATATATGATATTATACATCATACATGTATAACATCATAATATCAATATCAATATTATTATATATTTATAATTATAATTATTGCGCGATAAGTCTGTAAGATCCGCTTTTTCACACAAAATAAAATGCAGATAGCATCGATAATAACGAAAGGGACTTAGAAATAGCTAATTAAGTAATATTGGTCGGTTTATTTTACAGCGATTTCTGTGTTTCTTTTCGATCGCCTCGATCGGAAATTGTCGCGATTTGATAGCGGGCATACGCAATGCGCGAGAGTATTCAGTTTTTTTTTTCATGCTCGCAACATAGACGTTTCCTATTATTATATCACTATTCGTCGACGTACGCAGTCAGATTGACAAAGTAGGCGCGTCGAGCTTAATATTCGTCGATCAAAAATCCTAGAATCCAAGGATCCTTCAACTTCACTCGAAGATTCGGCAATCAAAGAAAAATCCATTCTTCCGGAGATAAAACCACACGAACCACGTCCGTTTGAAGAGCACTTTGAGGCGAAGACAAGAAGAATCAGCGCAAGAGTATTGAATCTCCCGTGGTTATTAAGTACCTACGTTCTGCAACTCGAATTAAGATTTTATGAATCCGGAAGATTAAGAGATTCTAATTTTTGAGCGCATTCCCAGAGCTCAACATCTCCGTTGCCTATAATTCCAAAAAGACGCCAGACTTGCGAAATCTCCAATTTCCGAAATCATCATATTCCAAGATTGTTCACAGTTGTGGAAGTTCGGAACTTTCGAGTTTTAAAACTCGGAGAGTGCTAGAGCTTCGAAACTCCTAGGATACCGAAGATTCGAAATCTTTCATACACGTGACTCTCGATTAAAGTACTAATACTTTTCCTAATTTCCGAAGAATTGAAGGATAATCTAAAGCTGGAAAGAATTGGAGCACCAAAAAATCCAGAGCTTCAACGATCCTATTTTCACTTGGTTCTTAAAGTGCGTCCGTAAAGCGTGAAGAACAAAACTGAGGTATCAGCAATCCAGAAATATGAACCTTCAAAGATGCAAGGATCCGAGAATACGAGCATCCTGATCCAGGAACCACGAATATCCCACTTCGTTGAACATTTATTGACTATCGTTTATTTTTCTTTCGTAAAAAACACTGGAGATTCTACGACAATTAACGATGTCCAAAATCAATCCACGGCTCATGTCCGAGTACGTACCTAGAGTACGTGGATCTAAACGAGTCGAATGGGATTTTTTTCTGCAAACGGGACACCTTTGCGTCCTATAGCATTTTGCACTGTGTGTGCGTGACGAGTTGTTAATTATTTTATAAAAGCGAGTCGCGAATGAATAATCGCCACGCGGCAACAATTAACAATCATTAATAGCGTTCCTGCGCGAGAGCGTTCCTACATTTATTTATCCGATATCGATTCTCTGGCCTGTACAGAAAGTTTAAACAAAAGGAGCTATATCCTCAACTGAGCGTACATTTGAAGATTAGAAATATCAGAAATATTCGATAAGAAATGAAACTTGGGGGAAACATAAACGTTTCAAGACAAGGATAACTAAGGGATAATTATAAAACGGTATGGTTAGCTACAGTTTGTTATTAAGAAACAAAATTAATGAGCTCTTTTAAGAAATTAAAGAAATCCTTTACGATCCGTCTATTTTTCCTGATTGAGACCAGAGAATTATCTTCCTCTCTTTTTCTTTCGTTTTTTAAAATCACTGTCTCTTTCTATTTCCTTCTCGATAATTACATGATATACGGTGGTATGTGCAGAGTAATCTGGAGGCTCGCAAAATTGCTACACGCTGCTAATAAAATGTATCACATGCCCCAACAGCGTGCGCCAATCGTTAGTTTAATAATTAATTCGGGCATGTTGATCAAAAAACGTCCTCCGGTAGCACAAAGGGCTGCTTCAGAATACAACAATATGTTATATCCTTAATTCATTATGCGTAAGATGATTCAATTTTCAACCAGTATTCTGACTCCACGAAATATAGATTCTTCAGGTCAATTGAATTCAGAATTCGAAATTTACCCTCGTCCAGGGACTAAAAATTTTAAATTCAAGAATTCAAACTCCTAAGGATGTTATTTTCTCCACGCTGAAGATTTCTTCGTACCTCAAGAACTATTCAAAGTTCTTAGAAAGTAATGTGGAAAAATAAAACTAAGCTCGCAAGAGCCACAGTTGATTAAGTTTATCGAATTGCGAAATCAGATATGGAAAATGAAATAAGTTACTGGTTGAAAAGCTGAAACATTAGCGAAAAGTAGCATAATCGTTATTGTTCACCGGAGTAACAGGTAATGACGGTGCATTCAATACTCTAATTCAGTGGCTTGTTAACTAAAATAGCAGGTACAACTGAAAGTTCAGATTAGTATCGATGGCGGCCAGCCTGCGCGCACGGTGCGCAGAGACAAGACCACTCAGTGGCCAATTGCATAAACATCAAACAACAATGTATCATATAATCATTCGTTGGTTCAACAACAAATCACTTTCGATATATATATAAAAATAAGGTATCAAACTTTGCATCGAGGTACACAGCCATCATGACTACGTGCTTAATTTACGTTGTCCTCTAAAAGCCATCTGCATGTCTTCAAGGATCCAGCGCTCAAAACCCGCCAGGGATCTCTGGATTCTAGGTCAGGGAGTTTAACAAGTTAAATTAACTTAATATTCACAGAGGAAGATTAGAATCCGCGAACTTAAAAGTGCGAGGATGAAGTACGTATTCGAGAAGAGCTGAAGAGCATATCTGGGGAAAAATACCAATCTCTGATGGTGAGAATTAGAATAGAGAAGCCTTGAATCAGAACAAAAGGGCACAGGAATCCCCGAAAGGGTGAGATTCCAGAGAAGCCAGCACTCTGAGAATTTGTTGTAGAAGCTAAAGCTTAGAGAGACCGATGTAACAACGATATTTAGGACACGAAGTATCCAAGTATCCGAATTCTGTGGACTCAAAGGTCCTGTAAGTACAACTTTCAGATATTCGGAAGTCGCTAACTTGAGAATTTCAAGAATCCAGAGACCTCAGAGCTCGTTTGAATTTTTATAAGATCATCGGAGCACGAGATACTTATTTTTAACGCTACGATTAGTTGTATCGGGGAGAGAGAGAGAGAGAGAAAGAGAGAGAAAGAGAAAAAGAGAAAGAGAAAGAGAGAGAGAGAGAAAGAGTACCCAAGATTGGTTTAGTTCCCATCAGCAAATCTGTACTAAGCTAGATAAATGTACGTTCTAGCTGTTCTAGTTTGTCTTTCTCTCTCTCTCTCTGTCTTGTTTCTTTGCTTCTTTTCTCCCTTTTTTAAAATTTTCCCGTTCCCGAAACAAAGGGCACGACAATTTGTTCGTTATGCCGGGGCACATAAAAAACGGCTTAATTTTTATGCAAAAGGCCTTACAAATTTCCTTGCTATAGAGCATATCGCACATTTTATTTCCTGGGTTTTTCTTCTGCGTATGTGTAATCACGCGAACTATATATAAATAAATTATAAATTAGTACATTTCATATATAGTCTTAATCCACCCCCTTCTATATGTTTCGTGCATTTCGGAAAAAAGCATTTATAATATAGCTACAATAATACTCGCGTAAGAGGATTATTATTTACTTCTCAATTATATCAGTAGAGGGATTCGTGAACCATCAACGTGACGGTTAACATCTAGGTATTATATTGTGTATCATTGCGCTAACGATGCTAAATGCTACATCAAGAATTTGAAAACTGGAATGTGCCTCAATTAATTGTCGCTTCCGTTATATCTGTTGATTTAACAATTTGAGTCCATTTAACTCGTTAGGCTTCCCAAGTGAAAAGGATGAGAACGGAGACAATGAGATAAATGAGGAGAGCGCGATCAAAAATTTACACAAATATTAATATACGCCCTAAAGAGATATTATTTTTAATATAATAATATAATAATTTAATATAATACATTTAATGTAATTTATATAAATAAAAATTTAATTCATACATATATTTAATTTAATTTATATATATATTTATAAGTTATTTATGCAGACATTTTATATATAATTATATATAAAATGGTGTGTATGAGTAACTTATATAAATTAAATTAAATGACAAACTCCTCGAGTTTCCTACTTAAGGAAACAAACTTTGGCCTTTAACTTTTGGCAGTGACGCGAGTTGTCTTGCGTCCTAATATCTCAATATCGTTAATCGCACTCAAATTGTTAAAGTATTAAATTATTTTCCTCAAGTCGCAGTGTGACAATAAACTCAAGTCAAATTTTTCTATCCGAAACATGACCTGTTGGATAATTTGTGTAATGGACTTCTCCCTCCGTCGTGATTAACTATCTCGAAATAAATACTATGTCGATTCGGCAACATTCCAGAAAAATATAAATGAAAAAGAAAATGAGAACAAGTATTATGTTAAAAATAGTATAATAGACTGCCGATACGTTAAAACGTTGGTAAAAAATTTTTATATAATTTTTTTCGAAAAGTCTAACAATTTCTTTCTTAGAAGGTGTACAAATTGTCAGAGCACAGTGAAAATTCTAATATTACAATTAGTTGAAGTGTGCGAATTGAATTTACAGACTGAACGATTAGAAAATAAAACTTGGCAATCCTTGAGTCAGTTAATTGTTATCGGCAGTCTATTATAATAAATTGGATATGCTATCCAAAGCAAGAACGATCCAAATAAAGCCCGATAAGCGGGACATACTTACTTTTCATTTAGCCCGTACCCCAATGGCTTTGCATCGCGGGAGGCGTCACTGCTGCACCGGTGTGGGTGGGTACGGATAACCGTACGGCGGCACTGCTTGAAACTGGCCATAGCCCATCGATTGGTAGGCACAGGCACCAGCGTTGGGCGGCGGTCGATTGGTCTGGAAGAACTTATTGTTCACGAGATTCTGAATACCGGAGTCCGCGTGTCCGCCGGACGGCATCATGAAGGGTGGCGGCATTGAATAAACGTTGGGCCCGTTCTGATTGCCGTTGAAGCTGTTTTGCCGATTACCCTGGAAACGATTACCCTGGTATCCAGTTCTGCCTTGATATCTAGGTGCGCTGGTAGCCTGATGCACGGGTTGACATGTGCTGCTATTAGTCGCTTGGTAATTGTTCGGGTAGCTGTTCTGATAGCCAGTAATGGATTGTCGTTGCTGGTGCTGCTGCTGATAGGAATGCTGTGGTTGGTAATTGTTCTGCCGATTGGTTTGATAGCCATTGTTGCGAGGATGACGCGCCATGCTTTTCTCCTGAATCATTTGATTGTGATGTCCATGCTGTCCGTGTTGCCCATGTTGTACATGCTGTTGACTTGTCTGCAGCATATGCTGCCAGTTGTTGATCGTCGGGCTGATGTTGCTTCTAGGACTTCCATGAGAATTGTTATCCTTATTGCCTCGTACGTGGCTCCACCGTTGCCGTCCTTTGCCGTATTGGTTCCTAACAGAATTGGCCATGTCTGCCAATTGTGGGTTTACAGCTTGACCGGCCTCCTCCAGCACTGCGATTAGCTCCTTCGCCTGTCTCGCGTTGTTCGGTGTAAAGTAAGCATAAGCTGTGCCTGCGCTCTGGCAGCGACCAGTTCTGCCGATCCTGTGGATGTAGTCCTCGGAGCTGTTGGGATAATCAAAATTGATAACGTACTTGACATCTTCGACATCCAAGCCACGCGCGGCCACATCTGTCGCGACCAAGATCATGGTTTTCCCATTACGGAATTCCGATAGAACATAATCGCGCTCCGGCTGCGATTTGTCGCCGTGAATCGAGATCGCGGACCAGCCCTCGCGTTTAATTGTCTTGGTGATGTCGTCCACTTTCTTCTTCGTCTCCACGAAAATTATCATTTTGCTGCCTCGTTCGGTTCCAATCTCGCGCAGCAATTGCGACAGTTTCATTTCCTTCTCGTGTTCCTGGCAAATCTCGATAATTTGTCGAATGTTATGATTGGCTGCCAAATTTAGAGAGCCGATATTGATCTGGATGTAGTCGGTGAGGAAGTCTTCGGCGAGCGCCTGCACTTCCTTGGGCCAAGTGGCGGACCACATGAGTACCTGCCGATCGGGTCGAATTTGTTCGATTATCTTGCGTATCTGTGGCTCGAAACCCATATCTAGCATTCGATCGGCCTCGTCCAAGACCAGGTATGTGCATCTACGTAGGTTCGTGGTGCCTTTCTCGAGGAAGTCGATCAATCTGCCGGGTGTCGCGATACAGATTTCCACTCCGCGTTCGAGATCGCGAGCTTGAGGTCCCTTGGGCGAGCCGCCAAAGATGCAGGTGTTGCGGATGCACGAGGACGAGCCGAAATCACGTGCGACCGTTTGGATTTGTTGAGCTAATTCACGCGTGGGAGCGAGAATCAGAACAATTGGTCCGTCGCCACGGCTGAGACGAGGTTGATGGTTGATGTGCACCGTCGCCGGAAGGATATACTAAAATAGGTAGAGAAAATTGTGAACAAAGGGACATTTAATGTTTTTAGAATCTTTCAATAATATCTATACATCTTCTATAATATTTTATATGTCCATAACAATCTATAACATCAAAATCTTTCCCGATCCCCTTCAGATTACTGCCGAATAGTTTTACTCGAATTGTCTTATCAATTTTTATAACTTATTCAATGAATTCAATGAATTAAGGCGCTAGTACTTACTGCCAAAGTTTTTCCGGAACCAGTTTGAGCAATTCCAACTAAATCTCGTCCGCTGAGTGCAATTGGCCAGCCCTGAGCTTGAATTGCAGTGGGCTCGGCGAAACTCTGCTTCCTAATCCCGTCCATCACGTACTCTGGAAAGTTGCTCTCTTCGAAGGCTTGAATGGGAGAAGGTGTGTTGTTGCCTTTGACAGTGATCTCCTTGCTCGCGTGATATTTCCTAATCTCGTCAGATGATCTGTTTATGATATTTTTGTGGGGAATGTACAAATCCTTTTCTATTATAGGCAACTTTCCCATGTCCCAAATAGGTTTCTTCAGTAAATCGCCTGGGGTCTTCTTGTGATTTTGCTTCTTTGCGACGTACTCTTTTTGACTCTGCTGCTGACTATTCCAATAAGTTCCACCAACTCCTGCTCCATTGCGGGTGCCATGATCTCGATTCCCTTTAGGTCTGTAACTAAATAAAACCTTCATCTGAGCAATAGCACACAAAAAGGATCGTTTTTTCGGTCGACTCATATTTTAAGTTATTTTTTATTAACTGCAATCCTCAAATTGGAGTGCCGTTTCGTGTAGATAAATAAATTTATAATCCGTACGTAGGGTGAGGGGTTAATCTTGAAATTCATCAATTACGAGTGTTTGCCGCTTCCACATGGAACTACGTGGTATCTCTTATTTATTTTAATCTGCATTTTTATGCATTTTTTCCTAGTATTAGGTTTTGAATTTTGAAACAAGATGAAGAACCCAAACTATGAAAGAACACTATTGTACCTTTTCCTTAGAGGAGAGGAGGAGAGAAATGCATTTTTATGACCTTTTCCTAAGGTCCTTTTTCTAAAGGCCCGTGTCCACAAAGGCATTCCATAAAAGGAAAGGCTGTAAGCTGACTGGCTATACATACATTTCTCAGAACTAGAACTCGAACCAAATTTTAGCATCGTAGACACAGGCCTTAATAAGAATAAAAGTTCTTAAGCCTTGTTGCACATTTCTTGGAACTAGAACCTGGACACAGTTCTTGAATCGTGGACACAAGGCTTTACACCTGTACTCCTATACTGCACACTCTTAACGTCAGTATCGTTATCGTTATATTGACGCTGCGCAGGTTTAATACAAGATAAAAAAGCTGCGCAACAATATAACCAGGGTTCGGAAGTAACTTCGTTACTTGTAACTTGTAACTTGTTACAAGTAACGAAGTTAAGCCTATCACACAATAGGAAAGCACAGGCAATAGGAACAGGGAATAGAATTTCTGACGCGTTGGATTGGTTGGAAGAAAATTTCCAACGAATACAACGCGTCAAAAATTCTATTCTCTATTTCTATTGCCTGTTGCCAGGCATTGTGTGATAGGCTTTACAGTTACTTTCTTTTGGTAACTTTAACTTAACTTCGTTACTTTCTCTTCATCTGTAACTTAACTCAGTTACATTTTTTCGCTAACTACCCTAACAGCACAGATGACGGAAAGTCGACTTTCCGATTAAAAGTCAATTAAAAGTCGACGAAAAGTCGGCGTTTCTGCGGTCATTCGTCAACTTTTGTCGACATCAAGTCGACTTTCGTCCTAAAAAAAGTCGACTTTTCGCCAAGTCATATTTCGGAATAGTCGACTTTAAGTCAACTTTCCGTCGACTTTTTGCTGTTAGGGTAGTAACTAATTTAATAGTTACATTAATAGTTACTTTATACATTTCTTAAATCTCCACAGATTGCATCAAGTCTTGCATTTACGCATAAACGCCTTTATCGATGCTTTACAATTCAAATGCAGATTTAACATTTTTATTTTCATTGCGAGGAAGCAACTGCAAAGTAACGATTCGTTACTTTTTAAGTAACTGTAACTGTAACGCGTTTTTTTCAGAATTGGTAACTTCCAACTGTAACTAGTTACATTTTTAGCGAAGAAACTATAACTGTAACTAGATACTTTTATAAAGTAACTTTCTCAACCCTGAATATAACTGTAATTGGCTTCGTTAGGCAGAAAAAGTTGCTTTGCAACCATTGTAAAAAATCTTGCTCTTTTCTGCTGAACGCAGCCAATGAGCGCGAATTACCACGAATCGCGCTATCTTATAATTTAAACGTTTGGTAAAATCTAAGTAAAACACAGCGAGAAAGCAAATAGCCTAATATACACGCCTTTCTTCCCAATTAGATGAAGTAAAAAGTACTTACAGTATAGGTTCACTGAGCAACCCGCGTTTATTTGTTAGATATTTGCCAATTAATTTCTCACTAATTGTTACAAAAATCGCAAAATGGTATAAGTCTTTTCCGCCCAGTTTAACGCGTTTGCGTTTAATTCAGACAAAGCGTTACACTGATTACTAAATGTCCTATACGTGTATAGAATTATTTTGGTGGAGTCTCTGTCCAATGGTAACCCGAGTCGCTCGCAAGCTGCGTTGTGACCAAGTGCGCTGTCTAACAGGCGTAGTTTCTTTCCGCACACATAATTTAAGGTTTAAATGAGGCTATTTCTGAAAAAAAGATGCAAACAAAGAAAATAATACCCATAAAGGGATAAATTAATTTTCCATCTGAAATGTTTAGTGAAAACGCGATTGCAAAGAACATGCATTCATTAAGTACGCTATGAGGGAATTCGTTTCACATGTTCGTACAATTCACACCATATCCGGCACACTTTGTAGAGAATTTTCACAGATTCATAGAAAAAAGGAACTACGAGGGTAAGGTCTCCGTTTAAAAGCGTTTTATTTACTTGCACAATAGAAATTGTATAATTCTGTAAAAAAAAGTATAATAAAAAAGTATATAATTCCCTGGCCGAGGTAATATTTTTCGCAATAAGACCTCTAATTTCAGTACGGGTAGGGGGACTATTGTATTGAATGCTAAGTATAGCATTAAGAAAATAATTAGAAAATCGTTCAACAATTTTATAATACGTGAATTCGCTGGCGATAATGATTCCACCTAACGAAAACCTGTGTTATATGTCCGAAAGTAACAGCGCGCAGGACAATTGTTGGAAAATACGGTATATGAATTCACATATTAATTTTAAAATATTATTGGGCTACTTGCTCGGACCTAAGTATGGTTTGGCGTTCTCGTTTGTATTTGAGTCATGTTATAAAAAGGTCCTGATTAAATTTTAGTTGTGCATAATTATTTATTAAAAATATATCACTAAAATTATACGTGTTAAAATTAATTTAATTATATAGTACAAAAATTAATTATACGTGTTAAAATATTATAATAAACTATTAAAAAAATGTACCGAGTGGAATCGAACCCTCAACCATATGGTTTCGTGATCTCGAATCTCTCTTATGGTCCTTTATTAACTGCGCCAACAGAGGCATAGTCTAGCTAGTACTTTCTTTTTAGATATATTCTGTGAAAAAATGTTCTGTAACACTAGAGTACCATGGAGCAAGAAAGAAAGAATGAGAAATAAAAAGAAGAGAGAGAGAGAGCTAAAAAGCTACAGAGTGAAAATCTTCCAAAATACAGAGCTTTGTGTTTACGATCAAAGAACTGTGTCTAAGTTTTAACTTCACGAAATGTGTAACCTATTAACCTGCATTTTTTTTACAGAAAAGCTTCTTGATTAGCTACACATTTTTTGGAACTTGGACAGAGTTCTTGGACACAAGGTTTTAGATTCACAAGGTATTGCGGAGCACGCGGAATGCCAAAAGTAGTCTTGAACATATCAATCTATTTCTTCAAAATACCCAGTCAGCAAAATGTTAGCAGATTGGCAGCAGATTTAACAGAAGCCCACACCAAAACCATAGCCATCTGTGTCCGCAATTGGCAACAGTGTCTGTAAAATATACGCTGTAAACAGATTGTCGGCAGAAATCGAACAGGTCTAGTTATGTCAGCAGATTTTGTTGTATTTTTGCTGGCAACATATCGAATATATCAGTTCCTGCATGCAATCTGCAAGTCTTTCTGCCTTCAAAATTTGTAGTGGGCATTTGACGAAATCTGTTCTGGCAGATTTGGCTATCTGTGTAGATTAAAGCCAACGGCACACGGATGCAGAGTTTTCCAATCTAGTAGGAAAAATAGTATCGGTGCCATTGGCTTTAATATGCGAAAAACAAGTAACATTTAAGGAAAATATATTACACAGTTAAATAACATTAAAAGATAATCAAAGACGGAGGTTTCTCTCTCGATAATACAAAATCTAATTGTAAGTAGCATTCGTCACCCGATCTGTCTTAGACATTCAAGATCAAACCAAGATTAAATCAGATCGAGAGATAAACCGCTGAGTAAAATCATGTACACCAATTACTACTTATTTTATCCTTATAATGTCCCAGCAAGGCTTAATACTCAAGCTAATACCCAAAAAATTCCCAGTAATGTCCAGTAATGTAGCTCGACACGCCACTATTGTCCTAAACAACTTATCCCTCAGACCAAATCCTAGGGTACCAGGCAAAGGAGATATTCATTGATAATGCAGTGTCATCGTCAATTACGTTACGTTACGTTACGTTTATTATAATACGATCGAAATCGAATTTGATACATTCTCAAAGACAATCTCTTCAGTCTCTAAGAACATGTAGGTCATCGTTATTGGATGTTTTAGAAATTATCCATTACCTGAGCAAACGATAAGATGCAATAGACTTGCTTGTTTTGTCGAATTTGCCAATCTGGAGATATATAATGTAAAAAATGTGTTTGTTAGTAAAAAAAAGGTCTTGATTAGTAATAAAAATGACGATCTGATGACCCTTGGTCACCCTTGACTACTCTGTCGCGTTGTCTTACACCTAGCTTCTTTGACAACAATCATGTTTCTCTAAATTTACTGTGAACCAAGTATTAGGTAAAATCCGTCGGGCACAGAAGACGTAAATCCGTCGGATACCTCTGCATAAAATGGAGCAACTAACTGTAAGCTCGTGATATAAAATGGCGGCTGTTGGATAGCAACTTGAAAAATTTGCAGTGGAAGCCTGCGGCGTTATCGGCAAACTAATCTAGAATGCGCAAGAGGACGTCGAAGGACGTACTTGGGATTCTGCGAGTATCCGCTCGTGTACATTCTAACGTATCGCTCTTGCTCGGCAGGAGAACGGTGCTGGGGAGATGTCAAGTTATACGAGCAGCACAGTGTGTGTCAATTAGCCAATAGTCTCGAAGCGTGGATGTCGAGGATCTTGCTTCGGTACGGTCCGGCGTGCTGTCGCGCGTGCAACGAAACTCGCGGGCAAACGACGTGCCCGGACGGCTCGGCACGGCACGGCAGCGAATCGAGGAACTCAATCCACAGGAACCGGCGAACTGGAGCTATGGCGGACAAGCTCCTGGCAGGACGGAAACGGCCAACTAGAAGCATGCAGATGCGCTTCCGTTTCGCGTATACATCGACCCACGGAACGGGGCATGCGCGATTGGCGTATGAGACTTATATACGTATATATACGCCCAAATGTTTCAATTAAAGGCCGATATTTATAGGCTGGGATGTTGCTGATATATTAATGCCCATCTACAATAGAGATTTTCATACTAAGAAATTGACTAATCACAGTCGCATATTCTACTCATACTTAATCGTGGCTGGTCAATTTCTTAAGGCCTGTATCCACGATGCTAGAACTTGGACCAAGTCCTAGCATCGTGGACACAGGCCTTTAAGCCCAATGTCCACGATCCAAGAACTGTGTCAAAGTTCTAGTTTCGAAAAATGCGCAGCCAATCAACATGCAGCTTGTATGGAATAGCTGCAAGCTGATTGGCTACGCATTTCTTGAAACTAGAACTTGGACACAGTTCTTGGATCGTGGACATTGGCCTTTAGTCCCAGTTTACAATAGATAATTTAAAGCCTTGTGTCCACGATTCAAGAACTTGGACACAGCGGTCGTGGACATAACCCTAACAGCACAGATGATGGAAAGTCGACTAAAAGTCGATTAAAAGTTAATTAAAAGTCGACGAAAAGTCGGCGTTTCTGCGGTCATTCGTCAATTTTTGTCGACATCAAGTCGACTTTCGTCCTAAAAAAAGTCGACTTTTCGCCAAGTCATATTTCGGAATAGTCGACTTTAAGTCAACTTTTCGTCGACTTTTTGCTGTTAGGGAAGGCATTAGATCAATTCTGTGATAGAACTATACTTGTAAATTTTTAAAGAATAATCCAATCGGTGCAAACGCTCGCTGAACAGTTTTCTCCGCTGAAACGCGGCCAATTTATAGGCCCGGTTTCACCAACGCGAGTTAATCTAATCGGTCGGTTAACTTGACAGGGTGCCAACATAAAACTTCTTTATTAACCTATTTTCTTGGTTAATAAAGAAGTTTTATGTTGGCACCCTGTCAAGTTAACCGACCGATTAGATTAACTCGCGTTGGTGAAACCGGGCCATATTCATCTATTTTTTAAGTGCAGGAATTTTGGGGGATTTCAAGCAACGCGAACAAACCTACAGCACAGTATAA